ATCCTCCTAAAGGCCCAGAGCCTGGGGCAGAGCCACTCAGCACAGCTGCTGCTAGGGTCCTCCCCACAGAAACGAGGAGACAGTGAATGCTCGTTGTTGCATTGTAGTTACTTTGTATGGGGATTGCTTGTTATACAGCAGTAGATAACAGATGCAACCATTCTGGAACAAAGTGCTCTAGCCTATCCACAAACACAGTTCAGTCCAGGGTGGAATATTACACAGCACTGAGAGGCAACAAGTTATCCCTGAAGACTGCAGCAGCCCAGTCCCACACGATCTGGCTGAAGGAGGCCAGACAAAACATCATGGGCTGTGACTGAGCTCCTATGCAGCCCACAAGCTGCAAAGCCAGACCACGGTGGCAGAAGTCAAGACATCAATCAGTAGGATGGGGTGAGTGGGAAGTGGCTTGTGGAAGTCTCTCACACGGGTGTGTGAGGCGTGTGCAAGCCCACTGAGCAGCACATCTATGACTCAGATCTACTTTGGTTAAGGGAGGTTAATGCACAAAGGCTTCTCTGGGGACCAGGATGTGTGCAGCGTGAAATGGGGTGAGCTGGGCTGAGTGCTGCCGGAGACTCTGACTTCACGTTTTCTGAGCGGGTCCAGAAGGGTCAGGGGGAGGAAGGAGGTTGGGGCCTCCCACTCTTCAGGGCTTCGGCCGGGGGTCTCGGCTCTGCAGCCCGCTTCGATGATCGACAGGAAGGGACAAGGGTTTAGCCCCCAAACGGGGGTGAGGTCAGCCGAGGGGGCTTTCCGGGCCAGCGGCTGGGGCAGGGGAAGCCCGCCTGGCTTAGCGCTGTGGGGATTTGTCCTAATCCCATCCCTGCCCTGCAGCCCGTCTAATCCCCACCCGTGGGGCTGAGACTTTTCAGGCTGTGACTGTCTTGGGGGAGCTTCCAGAGGGGCCGCATTCCTCCCTGCATCCCCGCTCCCAGGAGGGAGCCATTGCTCCTTACACTTGGAAAAAGACTCCACAGCTTCTCCACATTTGGGAAAAGCCCACTGTGTGAGGCCCACTTTCCAAAAGACCATGGGCTCTGCCTTGTGTGTCTGGGCCTCGGGGTGTTCCCAGGGAAGTGAGTGTAGAGGATTGGGGTGGAATGAAGGTGACAGGGATTAGTGGCCTCCAAGGCCCCATGTACGATTCCTCTAACCTCACTGTTACTTGACCATCTCCAGCCCCCCGGGCCTCTTGTTCCTAACTCCCAAGCTGGTCTCTGCTCCAGGACCTTTGCACAGACTCCTGCTTGGTGTGTTTCTCCCTGATCTCTGCATGGCTGTTCTGGAGTTCTCAGCTCTCCCAAGAAAGCCTCCCAGGGACCCCATGGCCCATCCTATTTGGGTCTAATTTTCTGCCTTTTCTTATTTCCTCTGGCTGGAATATGAGCTCCTTAAGAGCAGGGGCCTCAACTACTGGCTCCTGCCATCCCCCTTAGCACAAGCCCAGAGCTCAGTGCAGAGCACTAGAGGAAGAGAAACCCTTGGAAAAGGCAACCTCGCCACCCCTGCGGACCACATCTGTGATTTCCCAACATGAAGGGCTGCCCTGGAAACCAGCATGAACACCCACATTACAGATGAGGAGACCAGGGGAGCAAGGGACTTGACAACTGGCCCAAGGTCCCACAGCCCATCAGTGGTAATTTACCCTATCCGGTGACAATGGCCTCTGTGACAGAGAGCAGACACCTGGGCGAAGAATCATTGCTGGCCTTGAATTTTGCTTTTTCATACATGGAAATCCCTGCAGTTTTATTTAGACATGCATCCCCTTTGCTTAGACATCAATGTCTCAACAACCCCTATCTTTCCACCTTTTCTCTCAGTAGCAAGAAAATGTCGCAGGAACGGTCACCGTTGATGCACAGCACGGTGGTTGTGGAAGGAATCTCAGGGGCTGTGTCCTAACAGCGCATCTTACCCGCGGAAATACTGAGGCCTAAAAGCAGGAATCACGAGCCTCAAAGTCAACCGATAAGTGCTTGTTGATCAAATCAACATGACCACATACCTGAGGTGTAGACGAAGGCAGCTTGGCTTATTTGCCAGATCCCAGGTCTCTCCAGTACAGCTCTGCCCAGCGCTCACAGACACTTTTAATTACACAGTGCTAGTCCCATCTGACAGGTGAGGAAAGTGAGACCCAGAAGATAGAGTATGTTGTCCGTGCAGTGGCTTAAGAGACAGTGTTGGAACTGAATAGGTCTTGGCTTTCTTTAGGGGTTCCAACAGAGGGCTCGACAGTGCATGCCCCTGCCTAGAGGAGGAGAGGGAGAAAGAGGAGGAGGAGGAGGAGGAGGAGGAGGAGGAGGAGGAGGAGGAGGAGGAGGAGGAGGAGGAGGAGGAGAAGAAATAGAAGGTTCTGGAAGCTGCAGCTGTGATTGGTGCAGGGCACAGGCTGCCCAGCAGTGTGTGAATCCCTGCCTGGCCAGCTGCCACCACCCCCTTCCCTGTGCCGGGCAGGCGGGAAGGTCTTGTGCTGGGACTTGCCGGGGCGTTTGTGTCAGGCCGGGCTGCAGGTACACACCTACTCCTCCCGCGGCAGCCGGGGGCCAGCACTGAGGAATTCTTCACAAGCGGGCTGCTATTCCCAAGAATGCCATTCTGCCGGAGAGAAATATAATTGCGCTTGGGCTGGGCCCTCTCCACCCTGCAGCCCCGTCCTATCCCCTGCTGAAAGTCACAGAGGCTCTGGAGGCTTCCTAAGTTCACACTGGGCAGCACCTCCAGAGCCGTGGGTCCCCTTTGGAGTGGGCAGAGGGGCTGGCGGCCAGGCTCCCGAAGCAGGGCTCTACCTGTGCCCTGCCAGGCCGGTGTCCCCAGAGGAGGGGACGCAGGGTGAACACCAGGCCCAGGAGTCCTCTCTCTGCCTTCCTGATTCCCAGAGGCAACACCCACTTGGGCAAGGACTGTCCTGGCCTCACATCCTGGACAGAGAGGGTGAGAAGCCATCAGTGGGTCCCTGTTGGGTGCCAGGCACTCTGCTACCTAGTGCCTCCAAATGCCCACATCAGTGCTAGTGTGGCCCATACCACCTTCATTGCAGGCTGGTGGACTCCGAGCAAGCTCAGAGATGGAGGTGCCTCAGCAGAGGCCACACGGCAGGTGGAGACCACTGCAGGAATGACCCCCGGTCCTCTTGGCCAAGTCCCAGTCCCTCCCTCCTGCCACTTGATTTCTTCTTTCTCCTTTCTTGCCAGCATGGAGCTATTGCACAGGTACTGGGCCAGATCTTTGGGCCTCAGTTTCCCCATATATAAGATGCAGTGCATGATGGAACGAATGCTAGTTCCCTTATCTGGCTGGGCCCACCCCAGACTTACCGCAGCTGAATCTGGAAGCCGGGGCCCAGGACCCTGCATTTCTACCCAGCCCATGGGGCAGGAGGAGCCCTTGTGTTCTTGGGGCACTAGCTGTGGGTGGGGCTCCTCAGCTTGAGACAGCCCATCAGCCCAAGGGCAGGGAACCCATTCAGCCTTTGGAAAAGCTGGGGAAGTGGGGGCCACTGAGGCAAATGGCCCGCCTCCCCTCAGCTTGTGGAACCCTTGGTGGCCAGGCTCAGGGCCCCGGAGACTGTCCTCACCTCAGCCCTATCCTTGGGCCACTGGGGTCCTCTCTCCCCAGGGCACCTGTCCCCGCTGTTCACAGCCGAGCTGTGGGTTCCCAGGCCCACGGTTTCCACTGCCTCATGCATCTCTCACCAGCGACAGTGACACTGCCCTCCCTTGGTCACAGGCTTTGTCAAATGTGATAGCTCTTGCATTCTCTTTCTCTTCACAGAGTGCCATGAAGTGGATTCTGGTCGTGTCCCCACCCAACAGAAAGGTAAACAGAGGCACCATGCCATGCGTAGCTGGCCAGGGGCACACAGTGAGAGTGTGGGAAGCTAGGATTTGATTCTGGGCCTCGTCTCCCCTGGCTGGGACTTGACCTCTCATTTCCTCTGGCAAGGACTTGACTACTCCTCTTTCTGTGCCTCCAGCCCCAGCAAGACACGGGCACAGGCAGACCCTGCCTGCTCCCAACCCCACAGGTCTGTCTCAGATGCTCAGGAATTATCCCCACTTCACAGACGAGGAAACAGAAGCACAGGAACTGCGTGATGTGTCCAAGATTCCAGGCAAGTGGCAGAAGCCGTATCTTGAATCTGGTCCCCCAAAGCAGACCTGAGCCGAGGATCAGAGAGCAGACGTGTGTCTGGGAGGGGATTCCCAGATGTACAGCGAGAGGAGCCTGAAACGGGACAGGGGACAGCGGGCCAGAGATGGCGCTTCAGCAGGCAGGTAAGCAAGTGGACTGCTGGGACTTGGTCCCACTGAGGACCTCCAGGGCAGTGTGGTGGACAATTAGAATTGTCCCGCTATGGGATGAGGAGCTACAGGCTTTTGTCCTTCATCTCCTGTCTGTGGTCACCAAAGGCTGTTTGGACACCCTGGCCCAGCAGGTTCTGGGGAGGCGGAGCCATAGGATTTTCGGTAAGAAGCTCATGGGAGGGAGGTGCATGCAGGTAGGGCATGAAAAGCTGCGGCCACAGAAGTGTCCAGAACGGGGTTTTAAGAATCCAAATCTATCCAACCACTTGCCCATCATCCACCTGTCCACCCACCCACTCTTCATCCATCCACCCATGCATGCACCCACGCTCCCATCCTTCCATCCATCTTCTCCTGGTGTTCCTTAGTGCTGCAACTGCAGCTCCAGAGCAGCCTGCCCACACTCGTTCCTGTCACCCCGTTTCTCCGACGGAGCTGTGCTGGTTGCTAGGAGATGACCAGAAAGGGTAATAGTGGACGGGTTGATGCCCGTGGCTTTCCCAAGCCAGGGTGTCCCTGCTCATGGCTCCCCAGCTCCCCAGAGGCTTCCAGAGATAGCCAGTGTTTCTGTCATTCCAAGAGGCCCCTCAGAGGACACAGAGTCCCATCCGCAGCCTGGCTGCTGCTAACCCCAGGGCCTGGGCGGGCAGGCACAGGGGTTAATCCAGGCCTTATCTTCTCTCTTGTTCCAGCCCTGGTGAGCTCTGTGCCTGACTCCCTTGCCAGGACCAGCCTGTGGGGACATGAGCCTGCTGCAGGCCAGTGACATCCAGTGGGGCTTTGCTGAGCAGCCTTGGAAGTTGGGGCAGGGCCATGGAAGCTGTTGGCACCTCTCTGCCACCATGGTGCCCAGAGGCACCACCTGCTTGAGTAAAGATTGTCTTGGCCTCACGTCCTGGACAGAAGAGGCAGAAAATCACCAGTGGGCACCTGCTGGGTGCTGTGTGCTCTCCCTGCCTGGTGTCCCCAGATGCCCACATCAGTGCAAGAGGCGGCCCTTTTTACCTGTGCTGCAGGCTGGTGGAATCCGAGCACGCTCAGACGGAGGTGCCTCAGCTGAGGCTGGTGGAGATCACTGCAGGAGTGACCCTGGGGCCCCAGGCTCTCCCTCCCGCTGAATGCATGTTGCAGGGGTCTCTGGGTCTGGCTTTGCTCACTGTGTCCTTTCTCTTTCCTCCCCAGCACCACTGCCATCGTCACCCTGACAGGCTGAAGAACTCCTTCCCTCCCCCAGGACTGCAACGGTTCCAGGTCATAACAGAGAATGTCAGTGGCACAGGCAACCTGCCACAGGTCACAGCTGTCACTCCAGAGGGGAGCACTGGTTTGGAGAGGGACAGAGCTGGGGTCCACTCCTTCCTGGTGGTATGACCTGGTGAGTCACCTGCCTTTCTCAGGTTCCTCCTGTGAGTGGGAGGAACACACCTGTCCCACGGGGGAGGGAAAGGAATGGGACAAAGTGTGCAGCACGCCCTGGGACCTGTGCCAGCTTCAGACACTGCCTCAGGTGGCTGAGGCTGAGCAGAGGACAATTCTCTGCACCATATACTCTCTAGGAGGAGACAGCTACAAGCCCGTGTCTTTATTAGTATTTATTTTTTGTGGTGGATGGGACCCGGTGCCTTGCACATGCCAGGCAAGTGCTTTCTAAACTGATGTTGTTTAATCTTTAAAATGTGCTCTTTCCACCCATCAGGGAGACCCTGTCTGGTCTGGTGGCCTGGCCTGGAGTTCAGGACACAGGCTTCTCCAAATGGCACACCTGCAGTTCTGGCAAATACAGCAGCAGCAGCAGACAGGGCTCTAGAAGGCCGGAAGGCTGTTGTATATCTTGTCCCCCCCCCCCCCAGTCCCCAGTGGCACCTCCTTAGGAGACTTCTGAGGACCCCAAGGCCCCAGGTGGAACCTCCTGAGGCTCCAGGGGCCCAGCCCTCAGAGTGGGGTGTGGAGAGGCGTGGTTGGCTTGGCAGGCATGCAGAGGCTCCCCAGACCCGACAGGGCGTGTGTGCACATGTGTGCACGTGTGTGCTGTGCTAGGGCCTGGTGGCAAGGAGTGGCCCTGTCACTGCCTGCTCATTACTGCCCCCTGCATCCTCTCTGCCCTGCCCACAGGCACTCTTGGGTCAGCCCTGGGTTTTATAAGATGATTTAGAAGCCACTGAATGGTGGCGGGGAGTGGTGCATCCCTCAGCTGGAGTCTCTCCCTGCAGGGCGGGAAGTCCCCAGCCCGCCTCCTGCTCCTCTTACCCCGGTGGAGCTCCCACCTGGTCACAGGGCTCCACCCCTTCACCCCGGCAGGTGGGGAGATGAGGTCCAGGAAAGGGCACCTGCTCCATTTCCATGAAGCCTCAGTGCCAGGGCGGGACTTGGGGATAAGAGGCCAGGTCTGCAGTGGCAAAAGGAGGCTCAGCTATGGGCGGCACGGGTCTCAGATCGGGAGGACCCCTGGGGCAGGGCCCTATAATAGAGGCTTGGGGATTACATATGGGGCCACCTCTGTTCCTTCAACAAGTCCCTGAGCCCAGCTGCCCTTGATTCCCAGGCTTGGGGCTGAGGATACAGAAACAGAAGACCTCCCCACTGGAACCTGTTGTCCAGAGGAGCCAGCACACGAGGCAGAGCCAGATGGTAGTTCCCAGCCGCTGCATTGCGTGTCTCTGGGAACACCCTGACCTCTTCGCTGTGGTTTCCCCTCCTATCCAGCACAACCATGGGCTTGTGGGTGCCCCAAGGCCATCATGAAGTGGAGGATGAAGAAGACAGTGTAAGCCCAGAGCGGGGTACTGTGCCTGGCCACGAGCTCTGTGGGGGCTGCTGCCATCAGGACTGTGACCGCCCTGACGATCTGCTCTGCCCCGATATTTTGGGTATCACCTTTGTGTTTCACCATGACCCTCACATGGAGCTTGCAGAAGGGAAAACTGAGGCCTGGGCTGGGAGATGTCATGCTTGAGCTCGTATTTCCAGAAGTCAGGCTGGGTTGGAAGCTGGTTCTGTCCACCACACCCCACTGGCTTCACTGAACCATCTGCCCAGCTGAACAGAGCCCTGGGGGCAGACGGGCCTTCCAGGAGCAGAGCTGAGGGCCTGCTGGGATTCCAGGGGTGGGTGGGTTGGGGTCTCCCCTGGCATACCATCCCCCATCTTCTCCCCATGGCTCTGTGCACGGTGACTGCCCGGGCCTGCCTTCCCCTCGTCCCTCATAGCTTACATTCCTCTGGAAGTTTCTCCCTGGCTGACAGAGGGTCAGGCCTCGGCGTGCATAAGCGCGTAGCCCTCCCCACCCCGGGGCTTGGCAGTGGGTTTCCAGGCTCCCTCGGCTCCTTGGTCTGTCCTTGGCCCTCCTGGTCCATCCTTAGGCCTCCCCAGGTGCCTGCATCCAAGTTGCTCAGCTGGAACAACACTGATCCTGGAGACAGAGGCCCGAGTTAGGGCACGGAGCACAAGAGGAAAGTAGGTGGGCATGAGAAAGGGGCAGGAGCTAACACCCAGGGCTGTCTGTCCCCAGTTAGGAAGGTCACCGCTTAATTGACAGTCCTTGGTAAGCCTTGGTTCTCCTCATTTGAAAAATGATAGCATAAACATCTGCCTCTCAGAATCATGAGCATTCCATGAGACTGTAAGATACTCATGTGATGTCTCCCAAGAGGACTGAACAATGTCAAAAACCGGGCGTGGTGGCTCACCCCTGTGATCCCAGCACTCAGGAGGCAGAGGCAGGAGGATCATTATGAGTTCAAGACCTTTCTGGGCTACAGAGTGAGTTCAAGGCCAGACTAAATGGCATAGTGAGATCCTTCTCAAAAAGACAAAAAACAAGACAACAACAAAAAATTATGTGTCTAGATTACAGTGAGAGTTTTCCAGGAGCACAGGGACACCAGAGAGGCCTCCCAGCAGAGGGAATGGCTTGTGCAGAGCCCAGGAGGTTGGACGCGCAGGAGGAGCAGGAGGCTCCATGGACCAGCACTGCCAGGGCCATCTCAAAGCTGCAGGCGCATCACCAGCTAACGCTTAGCAAGACCGTGCCATGAGCTACACTGTCCCTCGTCACGCACCGCCGCCACCATGTCTTCTCCACACCAGTGAGGTTGGCACTGTCATTATCCCTATTTCACATTTGTGGAAACTGAGGCACAACAGAGATGAAGTCATTTGCCCAAAGTCGCACAGTGAGCAGCAGAAGCAGGAAGTGATCCTGGGAAGGGTCTGGGTGACAGTGTGGCAGACGGGGGTCTTGACCTTTCCCATGTCCTCTTCTCCCCCTAACAGAGGCTGGGCCTGACCTTTGGCATCGCGGGGCAGAAGGAGCCACAGAGGTGGCCTAAGTGTTCCCCCGCTGCAACCCTGTGCTTGTCTCATGGCTGGGAGAGCAGGGGTCTAGGACCCTGCCAGGGCGGGGCCAGCTGCAGTGGCTGGTACCTGGCTGCCTGCAGTGGCCCTGGATGTCCACTGCTCAGAGGGTGCCCTCTGGAGGGTGCCGGCAGAGGCAGCTCGGAAGCCCACCTGCCAGTGCGCGTTGGCAGCCTCCTGGGGCCGCAGAGCTGCTGCGCAGGGCGGGTTTGTAAGTACACGTGTCTTTGGCTCCTTCTCCTCATTAAGCCACGTAATGGTTTTGCCCCGCACACATTTGCCACGGCCCAGCTGGGGGGCTTTCAGGGGAAGGCCCGAGCCCTTCTGGGACCATGTCCTCCTTCCCCAGGTTCTGGGCATGGGGACCCAGTGGCGTCTCAGCCCTACTGGGAGCCCTAATGTGTGCACAGCAGGTCCAGTCTGAGAGGAGTGGTGGGTGGAGGTTCGGACCTGGGCCAGAAGTTCACCCGGCCTAGGAGCTGTGGTCCTGGGGTTCCTCAGTGAGGAAGCCACGTGCAGCTCCCCACAGGGTGCTGAGAGGACTGAATCGGGCTCATGTCCACACTCCAGGGCAGTGTGGACACACAAGACAGTGGACTCTCTTCCGTCTTGCAGATTCATTAACCGAGGCGTGGAGAGAAGCCCCTGCCTGCGCCTCCTTCTGCCCTGGGTCACAGACCTCTCTCATAGTCACGGGTCTCAAAGTGGGAAGGAGAAATAGAAGGAGGGGAATCTTCCTTGTTTAAAATCAGCAAGCACGGAACTAGCCTCTTCTCTAAGCTTATAAACAGTGCTGTGTGTGGCTGTGGAAGTCAGGGCAGCACAGAGGCTCAGAGAGGGTAAGTGGCATGCTCCTGGTCACACAGCGGGGACGGACTAGTCCTATAGGTCAGGGGAGACCGATATCCTGGCCTTTCTGGGAGGTTGGGACAGGTATCATTGCCTCTTTGGGCTCAGGCTCTTTGGAGTTGGCAGGCAGAGATTAGAAGGAAGCCTGTGGGAGGCGATGGTGGACAGAACTCAGAGGAGCTGGAGGTCCTGTTGGAGCGGGATGGATGCTGTGACCCTCCTGGCCCAGCCCAGGCACAGCTGTAGCCACCTGCACCCGGCTCTGGACAGGTGCCCTCAGACACTAATGCACACGTATGATGTCACGCATGCCCAGACCCCAGCCACAGGCGTGGTGCTTTCAGACAGACTCCTGTGCCCATGTGCCCATGTGAATGCCCATGTGTGCACCGTGGTGAACATACGATTTCCCTTCTGCACCCCTGCACAGTACACCACTTGGTGGCTGGAGGTTTGCCCTTTTCCATGCCCTGACCCCTAAGATTTCCAGGGAAATAATCAAAACATGACAGAGGAAGGAAAGACACTGAGCGACGTGTCAAAAGAGAAGAGACTTTTGGAATGTCTTTGTGATTGCAAGTCAGTGCTCGATTTAGCCTTTGATTTTCCTGGAGGCCCAGGTAACAAAGGATCGTTGGGATTTTTTACCCGCCCTTCACTGCTAGCACTGTGACAAGAACCATGGAAGCTCTTGGATAAGAAAGCCACCTGGGACCTGGAGACCTATATCAAAACAGCGTGACCGTGCTGAGCGTTCACGATGTCTACTGTCGCTGCTGGGACTTGGGCTGATGGGCCACAGTGCTGAAGTCCTCTTCTTCGTTTCTCACCCCAGACAGGGAGCTCCAGGCCTCTGTCTGAGCTGTGCCCCTGGCCTGGAGCACCCCGCCCACCACTCTGTGCCCTTTCTTTCAGGAATCCTCCCTGAGCCACCCCAGCCTTCTTGGGGCTCCTGGATTGTCTACACACACAGTGCTCCTTCCTGCCAGAGGCCCCAAGGGCAAGGGTGGGGGCTGTTGGTTTTGGCAGCCTCAGTGCCTGGCCCAGGCCTTGGCATGGAGTTAGTGCCTAGAAGGGGTTTGCTGAATGAATACCTGTCGTTAAGAGGCCCACGCCCTGTCCTCCCCTCTGCACCTGTCCCCGGCAGGCAGAGCACCTGGAGTTCTGGTGTGTTGCCTCCCCGGGAGCTCCGGCTTCTCCAGGCCTGCCCTTGCCCGCCCAGGAGGGTGGGGCTTAACTCCCAGGTGTCTCCAACCTCATGGAGCTGTCAAGAGTGGGAGAGGGCTGGAGGCCAGAACTCTCTGGTGCCTTGGCTTGTAGGGATTGGCCAAGCAGGACTAGAGTAGAGGGAGAGCTTCTGACCAGAGCCTCTTTGGTAGTCATTTCTTCACACTCCTTCTCTCCTGCACCTGGCCTTCCCACCTGTCGGTGTTCCATAGCAGCTCCTTTGGTGGGAGCTAGTCTGTCCCCATTGCACAGATGTGGAAACTGAGGCTCAGAGGGTTTTGTTTCCCAGGTTTCTCAGCTTAGAAGACGAGGCCAGGGAGTGGACTCTACACTCTGAATGCTCACAGCCCAAGCACAGGAGGAAAAAATGGAGGAGGTGGTTTGGCATATCTAAAAGGTGACAGCCACTTGGGAGGAGCAGAGGACACTGAGTGTGCACCCTCGCTGTACACCTGTGGTCACACTTACACCACCTGCATGCACACTCATCGGGGTCCACTGTGGCTCCTGCACTCAGGTGGTACAGTGAAGCCTTGGCCCCACCGTGCTCTGGACTGCAAGCCCACGCGCCACTCACGGGTGCCACCCGCACACAGGACACACCGAACCTGCACCTCTCCTTGTCACCCTTCTGCACCCCGTCCTGTGCTATCCACGGAACCCAGTGCTCACACACCGGTGCACATTGCTGCACACCCTGCACACAGCTGCCTCCCGTCCGCAGCCACACACCCTCTCACACCTGGAAATCCCTGGCTCCAGTCGCCACCCTCCAGGGGATGGCCTCGTCGGGCACTGGCTGCTCCTGCCAGCTCTGGGAGCAGGTGTTCCCAGCCGCTCAGGCTTGCCTCGGGGTGGGGCGCGGCCCTGACCTGGGGTACAGGGCCAGGAAGTGCTGTGGGTGCGAGGCCAGGATGCTCACACCTGTGCAGACCTGCCTGGGGTGGGTGCCAGCATGGTGGCCACTCCCTCTACCCTGCAGCCTAGCGTAAGGCAGCCGCTGGCAGGTGGGGACACCGATCTCATGTTCCTGGAGTGTCAGGGAAACCCGAAGTGGGGCTTGGCAGGCAGGCCTGGGCCAGGCTGCTCTCTGATTCAAAGCTCTGACTTTTCTCCGGTGGCAGGCTCTGCATCTCAGCCCTCCCCTCTGTAAAATGGGTATACATGCAGCCCCCCTGCAGGACTGGAGGGAGGCTTAGGCAGACGTGAGTCCCATATTTAGGATTCTAGTAAGACAGGGACTTCGAGGGCTGTGGCTTTCCTGCAGCACCCCTCCTCCTGCCTACTTGCTGTACTTGTAAATACCTTGATTGAATGATAATTCATAATCGACTTTGGTTGAATGGTAATTCATCATCTACAATTCACCTGTTTAAAGGGTGATGGCTTTTAGTACATTCACAGGCAGTCCCGCTGTCCCCAACCCTAGGATATTTTCAGCACTGAGAAAAAGAGACCCTGGTCCTTCAGCTGTCACTGAGGTACGTCCTCAGCCTCACCAAAGTTCCTTCCCATCTCTCCGGGTCTGCCGGCTCTGGATGTTGTACATACATGGATTTATGTACTCTGTGGCCCGACATCTGGCTTCACCACTCAGGACCCCGTTTCTGGGCTCATCCTCCCGTAGAGTTCTTTCCTTTTTATGGCTGTGTCATGGGCCGTTTTGTAGACCGAACGCCTTGTACTTGCTTGCTCTCCTGGTGACGGTGTTTTGATGGTCAGACGTGCGGCTGTGAAGCTCGTGGCTTCCCATTCCTTCCTGATTTGACATGTTGGCCTGTGGCCTCTCCACCGTTCGGGGATCGGGAAGGCTGGGGGTGGGGGGCAGGTGGGCAAGATAGGGACTCCATGTCTGCGGCTGGGATTCTAGAGGCTGCTGGGAGGAGGCGGCCAGTCTTAGCAGGGGAGGAACCACCTTGTTGTCCCCACAGGCTACCGCTGGGTGTTTACCTCTCCTCCTTCCTGTCCCCTTGAGCACTGAGAGCCAAGGGACAGGCTTTGAAGTGTGGCAGGCTGAAGCAACACTGTTCGAGAGCTTATACACACAGAATACCAGGAAATCCTAAAACAAGCACAGCCCCAGTGAAGTGTGTGTTATAGACAGGGAAACTGAGGCTCAGCTTGGCAATGCTACCCAGCTTTGCCAAGTCACACAATTGCTAGACTGGATCTGAAACCTGACCTACCCAGACCTTGGAGAACCCGATGTGATCCCTGCTCCTTCCTGTCCATGCCACGACCTTGGCTCTCAATTCTGCCGCGATGCCACATTGCTGATTCAACCCCACCCCATCCAATTCCTCTGTGCCCAGGTGTGTGCCAGGCCAGTGCCGAGGAGGGTCGGGGCAGGGCAGTGGCAGGACCGGGTGGAGATTTATTAGGTGCCAACCCTGGCCGAGGCCCCAGAAAACAGATCTGAACAAGACGCCGTACTGGAGGCTGGAAGTTAGGGTGAAGGAGGGGTGCAGATTGAGGCAGGGGTGACAGAGAATGGGGACCCAGTGAGGACAGGTGGGGGGGTGGGGAGTGGAACCCGACCCAGCCTAGGGTGGGGAGGGAAGGTTTCTGGAAGGAAGCCGGATTCAGAGGGCTCCTGTGTTCTGGCTGAGGGAAAAGCATGAGCAGAGGCCTGGAAAAGAGGGAGAGGGAGATGGGCGAAGTGGCTTTGTCTGGAGTGGTTCTGTGGCGCTCAGAGAGTTTGGGCACAGAGAAGGGCTCCATCCTCCAGGGCATGGAACACCTTGAGGCTCGGACCTATTTCTGTGGGCAATGAGCAGACACTCAAGGCTCTGGGAGAGTGCCTTGTGCCTTTGGAAAGCTGCTCTGGAGCAGAGATAGTGCAGGTGGAGGACCTGCAGCAGAAGGACCTGGGGTCAGAGGTGGCAGTGGAGGAGGGGGTGACCTGGGACTGAGGATGTGAGCCGGGGTGTGGATCGAGGATTTGAAAAATCGAGGTGAATCTGAAGGGCCAGCAATGTAGGAAGCCAGAGTCTTGGGCCTGGGAAGACCTGAGGGTTTGCAACCTGGTTCCAGCCAGGGCACCCTTCACTGGGTGTGGTCCACTCACAGACTCACGAGTCTCCTGTGACCTTGTAGAGGGTCTGCAGATGTCACCCTGAGCACAGAAGAGAAACCTGGCCATCGGATTCCATGAACAGGAGCCAGAAAAGAGACAAAGCAGATCCGTGCACCAGGAAGCGGATCTGTGGCCACCTTGGGGGTGGGCGTTGGCAGGAGGAGGGCACGAGGGAAACTTTTGGGGGGCAAGTGGAATGTTCTGTGTCTTGATTGTGGTGCCACTGGCGTCTCTCTAGCCTTACTGAAATCCGTTTGACTGTACAGATCTGTTAAGATCTGGGTATTTTACTGTGTGTAATGACACCTCATTGAAAAAAAGAAAAGCAAATTAGTAATTTAAAAACTGATAAAACAGAAAGAACCCTGGAGAGAGGCAAAACTGGGGGTGACTCTGCTACCTCCACTGCCAGAGCAGGCCCAGAGGTGGCCCAGGACCCCCAGGACCCCCAGCAGACATCGCTTGGTCTCCTGACCCAGGAAGCCCCAGCGGGACCAGAAAGGCAGGGAGCTTCCCAGCTGCCCCTTTCACCCCCCTGTCCTTCCGTGTCCTCTCTCAGCAGCGCCCACCTGCCCTGCTCAGGTTGCTGCCTGCAGGGAGGGACGCTGGGCTGTCCCCCTGCAAATCCTGAATTAATGAATCGCAGGAATCTGCCACCGGGGAACAGCCCGTCCTTTGGGGTTTTGGTGAGAAGGATGAGGATTATGGTCTGGCAGCAGGGGGACCTCCTCCCCGGGGGGCTCAGTTTTCACCCCAGGAGAAATCCAAACTGGCCCTCAGCCCCCCACTCCTGTGTTGCCTCTGCAGCAATCCCTTGTTCTTACAAGAGGCATTATCTGCCTAATCCTGCCTGCCCGGCTGCTCCTGGGGTCCGGGGGTGTGTGGGGGCTCCTGCTGTCCCCTTCTTGGCTGCCCTTGCCCTGGGCCCTGGGAGGAGCAACCCTTCTCAGTCCTTCTGGACCATCGGGAGAAGTAGAGATGGTGGACGATGGAGGGTCCCCTGTCCACACCCGTGCACGCACGCACGGGCTCACACTGCTCTTACACATGCCCACACTATTGGGGTTCCTTGGTCTCGGCTGGTGTGAGTATGAAGAGTGGGTGACTCGTGCCTCAGCGCCCCACTGAGTGCTGCGGTGCAGGGCAGGATGATATCCCAGTGCTGGGTGGGACTGCTGGGCACCGAGCGTCCTGTGTCCCCTCTTGAGGAGCCGTGGGCCAGGCAGACCTGGCCTTGGATCTGAACCCCACCTCTTAGGGCCGTGTGACCTGGGCTGGTTCCCTATCTGTAGAATGGGAACGAGTGGGGTGTTTTACCCAAAGGGAAGGGAAGGGGTGAAGTGATGAGGCAGCTTTGGGGCGCAGGTCTGGGAGGAGAGGCTCAACACGGTGATAGTTACGGTTAATAAACAACGATCCCCAACACCGTCTGCTTCTGCCCTCCCAGCCTGCCACGTCCAGCCCCCAGCTGAAGTCCCCGTATACACACACAGGAGTCCAGATATCCCCGTCACTGGCCTAACACTGTCCTGTTCAGGAGGAGACATGGTCTTGTCCTTTTAAGGCTTCTGCTGTCCACTGAGCCTCCTCTGAGTCCCCATGGGGTCACCTGCTAGCCCAGGCAGACAGTGCGTTATTGGCAGTGAGACGGGGGCTCAAGAGCAGGACCCCTGTCGCAGCTCAGGGATGCTGGGGAAACCCAGTGAGAAGGCCAAAGGGGCTGGTGGCTCTGCCCTTGGCTGGGCCAGGCTGGCGGATGAAGCGGATGCTGTGCTGGGGCTTGGAGGATGGCCTCGCTCTGGAGGTGGATGGAGACGACTACAGGCCTGGGCACTGGGCTCGCTGGAAACTCCAGTCAGCCATGCCCTCCTGTGGGCAGGGGCCACCCTCCTGCTGTCCAGGAAGCCCCTGGGAGTTCTCCAACCCCTCAGGTGTCAGCTGGACTGCCTCCCACAGCCTCAGGCCTGATGTCCATGCCTGGAGCCTGGCTTGCCTTTGGGCCCCTCCTGGAGCGATAGAGTCTGGGCTTTAGCCAGGTGGCCCAGAGCTGTGTCACAGGTGTCTCTGCCCTGCTGTGTCATCTCAGCTCTGTCAGCCTCCCCCGGCTCAGTGTCCTGTCTCTGGGGTTGCCGTCAGTGATGTAAGAGGGCTCTACATCTGTAGCTCTATTGCCATCTGTGGCCCCCTGCTCTGGGACATGGGGCCAGGAGAGAGGACACTTGGTGGCCAGATGCTGGCCGTGGGGTCATGGTTGGGACGCAGGAGCCTGGGTTCAGGCTCTGCCTCTTGGGCCTCGGTTTCCTCTCTGTGAGCAGAGGAGGCCAGGCTCTCTCGGCTGGGGTGCTGGGGCCTTCGGGGTTCAAGGAAGGCAGGGGCGAGAGGAGAGAGGCAGGGCGGGGCAGGATGGGAGTGGTCCTTGCCCAGGGCACACAAAGGGGCCATGTGTCCTTGGTGGGCAGTGAGGGGCGGGCCGGGCGTCACTCTGGGGATGGGGATTTGGCTTCAGAGCAGGCTTTATTATGTTTCCTTTTTAATTATAATGGTCCCAGCTCCCACAAGGGCAGCTTTTGTCCCATCGGCTTAGGAGAGGGAGGGAGGTAGGGCTAGCCAGTCTGGGCTGCCGGGGCGAGGAGGCCAGGGCTGTGCTCACCATCCCCCTGCGAGGGCAAGCACAGGAGGGACAGTTTAGTGTTGGGGGTGCAGCCGAGCTGGAGTGGAACAGACACCCTACTCCTGGTCCTTTCTCTGGTGCACTTGACCGTGACAGCTCTGCTGCTGGACGCTGGCCGGCGCCCCCTTTTTGGGGTGGCTCATGAGAACCTCAAGTTCAGCCCCAACCTCTCCCAAGACTGCTTCTGGATTGTGGGATTTTCATCCCACTCTTGGACTCATTCAATCACCCAGCAAATACTCACTGAGTACCCGCTGTGCCACAGATGGTGCCTGGAGGCTTGGGCCATCAGTCACTGACACGTGGACCCTGCTCCAGCCTGCGTTTGTCCTCCTGGCTTCCAGGAAAGTGGCACTGGCAGCGAGCCCACCCAGCCTGGTGCACAGTGGCTCTTTTTAGAAATTCGTCTGCAGTGCAATGGCTCCTGCTCCTTGGCCTCTATAGCCCCTGAACTGGGGCACACAGGTGATTCTGAGATTTAGGGGCTGTTAGACCGCCAGGGCCTCTACTGCTGGACCCCAGGGTAGGCAAGTGCATGGCTCTGAGAATCCCCCCTCTAATTCCCTGCTCTCTAGTGTGGGGTGC